TGCGTCCCGGGTTGAACGTGGGTGAAGGTCTGCTGGCTGTACCCTGGTTCTGCTGGGCCTCTGGGTTCAGACTGAACGCACTGCTGATCTGCAGACCATTCTCAGCCCCCTCCAATTCATCCAACCGTGAGGCCGCTGGACCACCCTCGCCTTTCAGCGACGTCACGTTCGTGATCATGAGGTTTATATCCTCTTGAGCGCACAGCGCCAGTGGTGTTGCCGTTGACGTTGCCATGGCAACCGCCGAAGAGTCCGTTCCCAGCGTGGTTACGCTAGTAATTTTGATTTCAGAGTCAGGCTCCGTACTGCTCAGGGCATCCTCGGCCTCAGGGGGCGGCAGCGAGGAAGAGGCAGCCCCCTTGAGCTCCGAATCCTCCTCGTCGTCAATAACAATTGGCTCGCTCTGGCTTTTGGTGCCGGTGGTAGCTGCAGAGGTGGGAGGACTGGGCACCTTGGAGGAAGCTGTTGCCGTGGTAGCTGACTCCGCATAGTCTTTGGCAGCAGCGAGGGTCTCTGCAGGTGTGGGACTGGGGGGCTGGTCTCTCCCCTGAGAGTGAGCAAGAGGCTCTTCCACCAATACTACATCATCATCATTGTCTTCTGAGGCCTTGGGCAGGCCTGGTGCTGTCTGTGGCTCATCTGCAGATGGAGTCTGCTCCGTTCTGGGTGTGGTTTCCATATGTCCTTCCCCCTTCTCCTCCCCTGTGACTGTACCTGCCTCTTCAACATCTGCCCTGGCTTCCAAATCTCCATCCATCACTTAGGCAACAACCTGTTGACACAAACACGATGAGGTCAACAATTACCTGAGGAAGCAAAAAAAGAGCCATGAATAATGATGAATAGAAAATAAAATTGGCTATCGTAAAGATCCTAAACTGATTAACAAAATATGACAAATCCGGCTACAGACTGTCAAAATTGAACAAGGCAGTCTCATTTTAATAATGACAGATGTCGATATTTTTTCAAGGGATTATTACAAGATCCAATTACAACTAAGGATGTCTAAAAATAAGTGAAGTTCAAATTCTAAATGTAAGAATGTGGAAACAATGTGGAACTTCAAATTCTGAAATGCAATAAAGTGAAAATAATTTGGAACTCTAGAACTCCAATTTATGAAAAACCAAGTGTAAAATGATTTGGAACTATAGATTTGGAGTTTTAAATACCAAAATGCAAGAAAGTGAACAAGATTTGGAACATCAAATTATCATGATTATTTAAGAACTTCAAATTATGGAAAAACAAGAAAGTAAAAATGATTTGGAACTTTAAATTCTGAAATGCAAGACAGTGAAAAAGATTTATTAATCATTATTAATATTGGTTTTTAAAACGTCAAAATTATGAACTCTTGAGTCACCAAGTATGCATGACATCATCATAAAATGATCATCACTAAGCAACCAAAATTATTCACAGGCCAGTAAATGAACAGTAACTCTCATATCATTAACAGTTAACACATGCCCCCGTTTAGGCTTTTGATACAGAGCTCAACAAACACCATTTGACCATATTTGTTGTAATATAAAAACGAAATCAATGCCAATCAACATGTCTTTTAAAGTACAAACAAAAAAATTAAAAAAGAAACATACTGACATTGAATCTTTTGGTGTCTCTGAAGAAAGTGATGACAAATGTAGATTGCAACAGTTTAGTCTCCATAATGCACAGTAGAACACAAGAATCAATGTGCTACAAGTTCGCATTTGGAAATCTGTATCTGCTATGACAATCCATCCACCACTTTTGGTTGAACTTTAATACATCTGGACTGCAATGCAGAGCTTGGAGTGTATCTCCCTCCATTCCCAGGCTTTGACACTGAATGCTTCATTTCAGCTGAGATCCTAATATTGATGCAATGGAGGCAACGCCAAGCAGCACATACAAAAACACTGCTCAAATTGATGACACACAAACAAGTTAGCATTTTGAATATGTGGGCTTTCCCTGCAGGCTGATATCATGATCAGGATGCTGGAGAGAGGAAAGTATATGCAGTGTTACTGATCCACCTCTCAGACGTGATAATCACATGCACGTGCCAAGTCTGCATTCTGAGCAACAACGCAACTGTTTTCCAAAGGTCCCCACTAAAACTCATCACAGTTGCATGGCCCCATAAAGCTGCACTTCTCTAGCACCAATTGTGTCAATTACCAACATAATCAAGTAATTTTTGGGCCTATTCCTACCATTCACCCCTGGGCCGTGCCCTTGACTCCGGACCCTCTGTATCCACACACACACACACACACACACACACACACCCGACCGCGATCCATGCGCTGTCAAGGCAACCGGATGACGACGCCAACACGCTGTGCTTCATAGGCTTTCATTATATTCAGGAAACTCAAGGGCCAACGGGTCCGCAAACTTGCTAGGAGAGACCCCCAGGCGGGAGGAGCCTCGCAATCTACCCCTGCTGCCCCTTTTCACGCAAAACCCCCGGCCCATGTGTCGCTTGTGCTCCCACCCCCGGCCTCTCTGGCGCATGCAGCCATTGGATTAGCGGCGAACTGGAGGGAGGAGAGCCTCCGAGACTGCGCCATTGTTATTGTAGAGAAAAAAAAATAGTCAAAAGTAGTTATAGGCAAATAATCCCCGCGAGAAAACTGGAGGGAAACTAAATTTGAATTTCATGTATTCGAATAGATGCGTAACGGCGCGCATTTTTTGAATAACAACACATATAGAATACTGCGACCAATTTCAACACACTTCTAGCACATTAATACAGAAAATACGTCTGTTTTGCCTATACTTATGACTCCCTTTCGGATTTCTACGAGAACTGGGTTTTCTTGCTGGCATTACACTTGAGTGAAGGTTTAATTGAAGTTACCCAAGAGCGTTTACCCCTGGCAATCAAAAGGCAATACATGTGGTGCCCTGTGGGGGCGCTGCACTGTTAAGAAACATCAACTATAACGCCTATAGGTGACTAGCCACAAATATTTCACTGCATATTCCAAGCTTGTCCATTTAACTAGGGGCTAAAAGCACATCTAGTATTTAGCTACAAAAACAAGCGATATTTACTAATTGGTAAATCACTTGCCCCCTTCAGTCAGCGGGTAGCACTGCCTCATGTCCGCCATTAGAGAGCGAGCGAAACAATGCGCGACAGCATAGGCAATAGCACCCTGCCACGGCGGAGGAGGGCAATCTCAGGCGGGGTAAAATTGCACGTTAAATTACCCTCGCGCACAAACACAGGTGACCCCGATGGTTTCCTCGGCTCGAGCTCCGCCGCGGACATAGTTGTGAAAACTTTGGCCAATTACGCGCAGTTCAAGCATCAAAACGCCAGAGAAATTCTTACCGGAGTAGAGCTGGAGACGATAGAGCGCCACTTTTGTGCCTTGACATGAATCCTGGCGCGCATGCGTGAAAACGTACTGACGTTCCAGGCGCGTGGGAGGAGAAACGAGCTCTTCGCGCTACTCACACGGGATCTTGCGCGCGCTGGTTTTGGGAAGTCCGACTCGTTTAGAGGAATCGTTTCTTTCGAACAGTTCCTCTCGATGACTCGGTTCAAAACGATTCGGTGATTCTTTTTAGGCCATGACGCAATAACGCCACCACGTGGTCCATGACAGCCCAGCGTGACAAAACGTTTCATATAAAGGCACCTTACGCTTCTGTTACGTTTTTGAATGTTAAGTGTTTTTATTCTGATTTCATGTGTTCAAGTTACGTAAATTATAGCTACGATTCAGTTCCTGAAATGTTGTCGTTTGTATGCTAAATAATGTCCATTTACAACACATTTGAACACCTTTCAAGTACGTTTTATTTCTTGCTATTAAAGTAACTTGCGGTTTATCGGTAAAATCCTCATTTCCCTCGAAACGCTCTTATCGCTTCTCGTCTCGTTCTGAAGCAAACGTGTTCAAAATAGACGGTTCTCGGTTTAACGAGTCAGTGAGTTGTTGACTCGAGAACAGATCTGACCGAATCATTCATATCCGGTTTGTGAACTGGTTCAGCTGATTCCTTAAATTGAATCGACTTATGCACGCGAAAAACATTTGAGCAACGATTAACCCATCGAGCGTTTAGAATGGTTGTTTGAGATTAGCAGGAACAGGATGACAGACATTTACATATCTTGATGAAGTTTTATATTATTCGATAATCTAAGTAATGCAAGATTTGTAAATTAGATTTTAAAGTTGTTTTGGTGAAAGAGAATTCGACCGATTTCATCCTAATGGAATATAAATAAACGCTTTGACAAATAACGGATATGTATATTGTGTTATGAGAAAAAAACGGTAGTATCCAGCAATACAGAGTGAAAAGCAAAATTGCTAAATGCCACTGAATTTAGTTGGCTGTAATTATACACACTAAAGCAGTCTGTATTGAAATAATAAAAGTGAGAGGTACACTACAGCACGAAAACATGAGGACGGAAATGCATTGCTCAAGAGCCAAAGTTACATTTTTTTCTGCAAGAAATCCTTTTACGAAACAACATACAAAAACAAACTTTGCAGCTGCTTAATAAAACAAGTGTCCTTAAACCCCGATTAAAATAAAACACCCTCTTGCGCAACACAAGTTGGCACTGATGGGGTCGAAGAAAGATATGAATTGAGTGACCCAGTTTGTCATCGTAACTCGTGAAATCACGTTGTGAGACTCAATATTATTAGTATTGGTCAAAAATGATCCGTGCTTTAGAGCAAAAATGTAAGTAAAATTTAAACAAAAATATTGGTTTCATCAGAGTACTATTTTAATGAATACTACTTAAAGGAATTGTCTTGATTTAACAAATAAATTATGTAGTATTATTTTTAATGAGTGAATTAAAATAATTGAAATTATTTCAGGTATGAATAACAGACAAGACGTTGAAGATGAATTACAAACATCTGCTTTATTGCCAACAACAGTTACAATAGCATCTATTAGTATTCTCACAGAGTGAACATTCACTAGTCGCTCAACAGAACCAACTGTTTTTTTTATTATCCACAATTACTTTCTAAGGCATATACATTCAGGTCTGCAAAACAAAGTCTCTTTTTAGGTACAAATAGTTTAATACACAATGAAGTTGCTTTTTTTGTCACTTTTCTCTTTCTAGACAAAAGGTTCAAACATGTGAGGTCTTTGTTTGGCAACATGGAACTACAGAACAGATAAAACCATCTTATTTTAAGTTAGCAGCTTAGACCTGAGTGACTAGACTCTGTTTGACAGCTTTGAAACATCCAGCTCCAAGATAAGTTTCTGAAATACCTCAAAGTATACTTTAGATGCCTGGGATAATGGAGATTCAGTGCATACGTCAAACCAAGGAGGACATAGCAAGCCCTGGGAACACCTTCAAGGCTTGTAACAACTTTCTCCCCCTTTATAATAATTCCAATGTCCTTTGGACTGTCAATCGAAGTTCCCTTCTTAGTCACAATTACTGCCATCACAAGCGGTTCAATTCCTTTCTGGTTCTCATTGACCTGTAACATTAAACAGCAGTGACACTCAAAACCTATGAAATATTGATCAACAGAAGATCTGAAACTCAACAATTTGTTTAATCAAAGTCCAATCAACAATATTATGGCTTCTTCAGGAAGTCAACAATTTTGATATATTCACACTTCTGGTGTATTGAAATTAAGATTGCATACTTTCAATTCTTTGATGAGGTCTCCTGCATGTTACCCAAGAAATTCTATAATGCAGCTGATGACCACCTCTCGTCATAAACAGAACACTGCTCATCCTAAAAAAATACAAAATAAGAAAAAAAAGCAGAGAGGTTAATTTAGTGGTGTAAAACAGGGGTGCAAAAAATGTCAACAGGTGAGCAACAAACTGTATAAGCCACTCCCAAGGTGTTTTTGCCTCCACAATATTTAGTTCCTTGCTACTTTCACCATTTGGCTTGATCACATGGGCTAAAAAACAGATGAAGTAAATTTTTTGTAAATTTTATAAATTAAACTGCTTGAATCTATCAACAGAGGTTGTTGAATAAAAACCTACCGACACTGTATTGTCCTCTGTACAACTGAGTTACATTTGAAACTGAAGTTGATACTATAATTGAAATTGAACATATATAAATAAACAACTTATTTAATATTTTCTGTGAAAGTCCATGAAATTAACTGAAGGCAATAAAACATAACCTCACTGAACTGTTGTCACACATAAATGCATGTCAGCTTTTTTGTTGGAGAACCTAAATATCATCACGTTTAATATTTAATTTACATTAGAAGGGGAAGTACTACCTGCTGATCATGAAGAAAAATACAAGAATAAACAATTCCTCTCACCCTTACATGACACAACAAGTAGCCAAATGGCTTGCATTTTAAACTGTACCTTCAGTAGTTCCATCTCAGTTTTCAGTCTTTCTCCGAGTGCTCCTCCTTTGGATGAAACAGTTGTCAACAGCTTGGGAGTGTGAAGATCCAATGAGGACTAATTTAGGTTCCAGCTGCACAGTGGTTATTCTGTGAAATTCTGCATTCACCTGAAATACGGAATGAGAGTCAAATTAATTTCACGTTTTGAGAGGGTGTTTTCAGATACATTGTTCCTTTTTGTCTCTGAGCATTGTTAACTCACTTGAGAAGGTTGAAACAGGGCTGTCCATCGTTCCTTCATGTCTTGCACACATGGACACTGATCATAATGATTTTGTGTCGTCGATAAGCAAATGTTTTGTTCATCTTTGCTCATCTCCTTTATCATCTTTTCATTGTTCTTCTTCTTAAATACTCTTCTGCATGTCTGCAAAAATAATGTTAAAAGAAATGTGGAATGTTAATAACCCTGTATACCAAATGTATTTCTCCCTGAAACACCAAATAAACCAAGTTCAGGGCTTCCGTACAATCGCGATCGTGCAGAATGACCGTTCAATCTAATTGCTAGCTCCTAACAGCATGTAACTATGAGGAATTAATGGATTCGAGGGATTTTATTTAAATAAAATACATACAAGCTTTCACTGTTGCTCGTGTTTACTGTAACGTTAGATTAGATAACGTCCTGGCAGACCGCCAGGTCAGGTCCTCACAAATGTAACGTATAAAAATATTCGATGCTCGATTTCTAACCTTACGATATTGTGCAACAAAATGCACTTGTTTATGGATTATTATTCGTAATATGCCAACGTGATGGATTGAAAAGAAGAGGTGCACTGGAGTGATGGAAACGACGCGCGCGCTGTTCAACGGCAGCGCTAACGTTAAATAGTTTTAAAATGAACCCCTTCAGCCATTCATCGGTGTAAAACCGGATTTTCCATACTTTATGAGCAACACCCAAGTTCAAACGTACCAATACGTGATGTGGATATTAGGCCACAAAAGGTCACTTAAGATAGTAACGTTAATCTACAAAAATATTGGCAAACAGTTCATGATACATGAACGAATTAGCATCTTTATTTTTCAAGAGCACTATCACCAATCTATTTTAGATAGCAGACCTTAACTAATATTTTTTTTTGATTGACGCCTATATTAGATAAAGTAGACAATTTGAACAACAGTTTTTTCCCCCATATATAAATTATATAATATTCCTTACCTTTGTGAAATGAACTGAAAAAGAGTGATCAGCTTTGCCTCCAGGTTCAGACTCAGCGGGATTCTCGGAAACTCCAGCGCATGCGTGCCTCGTGATTTAAACCGCGCGTTGTAACAGGAAATGCTTGTAAATTGAAAACAGCTCATTTCCATCATGTTGGATTCATTCAATATTCTCTCCATTTGGAATTATTCCAAAATAACAGCTAAATCCTTAACAACAGAATTGAGTAGGTTTTATTCCAGTCGTTTTTAATTAAAAAAAATATTGGAAAAAAAATTAATTTTGTTAAATAAAGTTTACACATTCAATTTAATGAAATCTACAAACCTACAGAATGACTTTTTACAGTGCATTCGGCCCCCCATGAGCAGGATTGGACACCCCTGCTGAAGGCAGTTCTAGCACATCCATCTCTAGTGCATATGTTGGCAATGAACCATCTTTCTCATCTGAACACATTCTAACATGCATTCATCTGAAACACAAGTCTTCTTTGTTACACTGAATGTGTATATAAATTAAATCAGAGAGATGCAAGTCTCTACTGCTGCACCAATTAAAAGAACAACTGTTTATTTATTGTTGCTATAGTAAATAGGAGAGAAGACAAACTATTGATTGTTATGGAAATATATGTACAGTTTATTTACTGTAGTCAAAAGAGGAAGTGAATCAATGAGCAGTCTCTCTCACTTACTAATAATACAATGACGGGACAAAGAGAGGTAGGCCATGAGCAACAGAATAAAAGAACATCACTGCGCTACAAAGGCCTTTCAAGATGAGCCCAGCTGTACATTCCTGATCTGACTCTTAGTTCAGTCATCATTAATAACTTTACATAATGCTTGTGAAAACTACACTCGTGTAATCTGTATGATCAGTACCAGAAGACGACCTGAGCTCATGTGCTGCATGTTGAACAGTTACATAACTACACTCTAATGCAAAATCTAATAAGAAATTAAACTGAGCTGATGTACAACCTGCCTGACAACACATTGGTACATACATGAAAAGGGTCACGTTCCCTAATAATCAGTATTAAAAGAACCTGTTCTACTGATCACACCTGCTTGGATGACTTAAATCTTTCTCCTCTCAATGCAAAAACAAATTAGCCCTTAAAATGGCTTACAATCCAAATATATACATTCAAACATTTCTTCAACTATAATGGCTTCATTTTGTCCAATTTAGGATTCATGCCTTTAAAAAAACCATCACATTCTCCGGAAACAAAATCTGGAAACTTGTATTTTTAAAGCACCCACTCTGGAGTTCAAAGTCACACTTGAGTACAGTTTTGTCACAGTCCCACGAGCACAAAGCAACAGGGAGCCAAGAAGTGCTCATTCGTTCCATCATTCACTCTGCACAAGCAATGAAGACAGAAGCACATCAGATGAGTGTGTGGTCAGGTTAAACAGAACAGAACAGAACATAAAACAAAACAGTAGGTGAATCTGGAGTGATAAATTATTCTATTTAAAAGAGAAAAAAAATAAAAATTAAAGGAACACTTTACAAACAAGAGTTACAAATGACCTTCAGATACAAATCCAATTTGTCACATTTGCCAACCTTCATGTGTGTTCATGTTGCTATACAAAATCAGACCTCCGGAAATGCATTAAACACTTGCAACACTTAACCAAGCACGTATTAAAATTCACACTGAGATTTGTGACTGTTTTTTTTATTGAACTGTTAAGTACTACAGTCTTTCCCCAAAGTAAAACATAACCATTTCTAAACTGTCTCCTGCTCAGCATGTGTCAAGTGTAGGAAAAGTCTCAGTTCTTGGGGAGGCCGAGCTTCTGCAGTGACCTTTGACCTGAAAGGGAGGACTGTGGCATCACTGTAGTTGGACTCTGTATGCACAAATTAGCAGTTTAACCTGTGGAAAAAGTGAAACACATGTCCAAATTACTACATTTTAATTAAGGATAATTTAACATAAGGCTTGCTTAGCTCAGTTTCCACTTTTCCATGACCTTTCCAGTCTGAATTACTTAAGGATATTGAAAAAAAAAAAAAAGAAATTCGGAATGGATCATTAAAAAGAACCAAACTCAAAGATTCTCTAACGAATCAGACACAATTTTCTTATTCATACTGCCATGATTTTGAGGCAAAAAAATAAATAAAACAGCATTCCAGTTGCATTTTAATGGAAGTAACATAAGATTTTTTTTCCCCAGACTGACGTACAACTGAGGGAAACTGGTGATCAAAAAAGGGAAAAAAATGTAGGGCATGACTTGGTTCTATCTGTCAGTTGTTGTTTGGATGGAGGCAGATCTGAATGCAATTAACTGGTCTAAATGATTAGAAATGTCTGTAATATCATTGAAAGGTCAAGTTGCAATATTTTTATAAAGATTTACCAGGTCAAAAAATTAACATACAAGGATGATATGTTCACAAAACGATCAATAACATGCATTTAAAAACTAGAATGTTAATTTTACGCTAACTTTAAAATTCCCTGATATTTCCAAAGAACCATGGAAACCCAGTAAGCGACAAGTAGCTCTTATTTTACAGAGCCCTATCTCAATTATTCACGCTTGCTTTGGTGTAGGGCTGAACAATTATTCAATATTAAAGGGGTCATATGATGCGATTTCAAGTTTTACTTTCTCTTTGGAGCGTTACAAGCTGTTTGTGAATAAATAAGATCCCTGAAGTTGCAAAGACTAAAGTCTCAAACCCAAAGAGATATTCTTTATAAATGTTAAGACTGGTCCACGCCCTCCTAAAACGCCTTGTTTAAACACGCCCCCACATGTCTACGTCACTGTGTGGGAAGATTTGCATAACGCCGCCCAAATGTTCACGCAAAAAAGAAGGCGTAAATTTATTGTTGCTGCCACTGCCGCCGCCATGTTGTGGAGACGCTGCATGTTTCATTGTGAAAGCGAAAATACTTTGTTTGGCCTTCCAAAAGAGGACACGACTAGAAATCAGAGGTTAAGTTGTGTTTACAACACTGTTCCAGAACAGTTCAACCCAAATATTCAGATGTGTGCAGCGCATTTTATGGAGGATTGTTTCCTAGGAGAATAGCCTACAATGCCGGCTGTTCTGACTCACAGACTGCAAGTACGTTTTCATATTTAAAGGATTTGGCCACTGATGATTCAAACACGAGTTTTGAGCAGTGTAGAGTAGCACTTGTTGTTTGTCATTTCTCCAATCACAAATGCAGATATGGTTTTATGTTTACGTGGTGCGATGCAACACAGCGCGTAAAAAGACAGTATAAGTCATTATAATCAGTAAATATGTCCCCACTGGATGCAACAAATTCCTCATTTGTAATGGATTTTATTGGTTTTGTCTTGTCTCACCGGGACACGGCATCAACAGTATGTGAGGGGCGTAACATTTCCATCACACGCTTGAGGTATTCAGCCAATCACAATGTACTGGATAGCTGGCCAATCAGAGCACACCTCGCTTTTCAGACCGATGAGCTTTGTAAAAATCAACACAATTCAGAAAGGCGGGGCATAGAGGAGAAACAATAATGTACAGTACATGGACAATAATGTGTTTTTTTAACCTTAAACCGCATAAACACATTTCATTACACCAAATACACAAAATAATGTTCTTTTTAGTAACGTCATATGACCCCTTCAATATATATCGCGATATACATTTTTTTCAATAATGGTGAAATGATTTTTAAACACATTTCTGATATTTCAATACACATTACCAGTGTTTCCCATACATTGATTTATTTGTTGCAGTTGACTTCGTTGAATAAACATGAGCACTGCACATTTAAAAATCTAAACGTGTCGCGCCCTACTTTTGGTGCATGTTCAGGCATTTATAAAGCAGTATTTAAACCATCTCATATAAATAATAATGTGTGACAGTCCTAGGTACCTTTGCTGTGGGCGACTCTGCCAGACGGATGAACAGTTTGTTGGTTCCCTGAACAGGACTGAAAGAGTATATGAAATGGCTGTCCTGCAGGGGGAGCAGCACGCAGAGTGTGAGAGACTGTAGACATTCAACAGAACAAAGAGACAATGCATTTGAATAAGGATCGCTTGTGACATCAGTGTCTTACCAAGAAGATGGGCAGCTGAAACTTATCATTCAGGACGACAGCATGGACACTACAGGGCCCGCAGAGTCTAGCTGTGATCTCATTAAGGAAGTTTGCATGGAAGATAAAAAGCAGGATGCCAGATCCTGAGACAGAAAGCACAATAATGTCACACTAATTCGGAAAATAAAACTGCAGTAATTGAGAACAGAAGAATTTGAAGTGAGTATTTTACCTTCTGCAAGTGTGTGTTGAGGGGGTTTGTAGTTGAATTCCAGTGAAAAATCTGGTCCCTCGCACAATCTGTGGCAAGCCAAAGAGAATACAGGTTCCAGCAGGGCCAGTCGCGTTTCAAAATAAGCTCTGATTGTCTCCTCCGCCACAGTTGATAACCTGCAAGATGCATTTCACATATGCCCTTTATTTTAATAGTGAGATTTTTATCATGCCTGTGTTCTATATCTTTAAATATATGTGGAGGTGTTATAACGCAGCAATTAAACACTCACGTTTGCATATGGTCTTTGATGAGATCATACACCATCAAATTGTTGCTAAGTTTGGCATAGTACAAGGCAGTGTTCTTGTGTTTAGACAAGATGTTGCAGTCAGCGCCATATTCCAACAGGAGGCGAACCACATCTGCATTGCCCCTCTTACATGCCTTAGAAAGAATAATTCAAAAATCAGCACTCAGTGCATACCAAATGTTATAACCTAAAAGTGCAAACTGTCTGATAGCTAGAGAAGAACTTAATCATAACTTAACAATCTAAACTAAAAAAAACAATATACTGTATAGTACCATAAAAAAGTTTGGGGTCAGTATAATTTTATTTATTTTTTTAAATAATGTAATACTCTTATTCAGCAAGGATGCTTGAGAAATTGAGAAACTGTTAGAAGTCACAGCAATGACATTTATAATGTTACAAAACATTTCAACTTCAAGTAAATGCTATTTTTAAAATTCTATTTATCAAAGAAACCTGAAAAA